GGTTGGCTCAGTCAGTTGAGTGTCCAACTTTGGCTTAGGTCAAGATCTCACCACTCATGAGTTCGAGCCTTGCATCGAGCTCTGTGCTGACAGCTCAGAGCTTGGAGCCTGCTTCTGCTTCTGTGTCTCCCCCTCTCTGCCCCTCTCCCACTCTGCCTCTTTCTCTTAAAAATAAATAAATGTTTAAAAAAATGTCTTTAATGAACAGATTCATGTTTAAAAAAAAACAACAAACTTTGTCATTTGCCTTTCATACTTTTTCGTACTATCTGGAGCATGAATAAGAGACCCTGAAGGTATAAGCATCTTAGGATGAGACAATGAGGTGTCGTATTAGTTATCTATTGTTACATAACAAACTACCCCAAAACTTGGTGGCACAAAGAAACAAACATGTATTACCTTGGTTTCTCTGGGTTAGGAATCCAGGAGTGGTTCTGCAGTCTCATCTGAATGCTCAATAAGGGGGAGATCTATTTCTAAGCTCACTCTTTTGATTGTTGGCACACTATACTGTCCCTCATCATATCATCCCTTTACAACATGGCAATTGTGACCTGCCTCACAATATACCAATTTGGCTTTCCCTAGAATCAGTGATCCAAAAAAGAGAATGCTCATGACAGAAGCCACACTCACTTTATAATTTAATCTCAGAAATGGCATCCCATTGCTTCTGCTATATTCTAGTCACTAAGCTAGTCACGAAACCCAGCCCACACTCACTGGGCTGACTACCCTAGAAGCCATGCATAGAACTATATCAAAATCCACTAAGGATGAACAAAAAGCTAGAAAGTGTGTGGGTCTCCAGGAGCACTGTTAAGTGCCTACTCCAGTATAGCTTGCCTCCCTATTTTCCTTATAATGTGAAAAGAGGAAAGCAGCTCAAAATAAGTTACAGCTCCATGCCCACCAGAAGAGTGACATCAAATGTTGTGTGTGTGTGTGTGTCGGGCGGGGGGGGGGGGTATAAAATAGTGTAATCACTTTGAGAAAAGGTCTAGGAAAAGTAAATATACATATGCCTATGACCCAGTATTTCCAATCTTAGATAATTATCCAAGAGATATGAAAAGATATTCCACAAAAAGACTTGTGCAAGAATGTTCATAAGAGCTTTATTCCTAACAGGCTCAAACTGTGGAAAAAACCCCCACAAATATCCATCAAACAGGTAAATAGATAAATTGTTATATTTCCTTCATGGAATACTAATCAGCTTTTAAAAGGAACGAAATATTGATACACACAAGATGGATTAATTTCAAAAACATTATGCTTAGTAAAAGAAGCCTTACACAAAAGAGCACATCCTGTACAATTCTACTTATGTGTAATTCTAGAATAGGCAAAACTATTCCATGGTAGAAGAAAATCAGAGCGGTGTTTGCCTCTTGGGGTCTTGTAAGAGAGGGGATAACATGAAAAGGGGTATGACAGAACTTTCTGGGCTGATAGTAATAATTTGTATCTTCATAGGGGTTTGTGTTACACAAGTGTTTGCATTTATCAAAACATGCTGAATAGTACAATGAAGATTTGAGCATTTTATCAAATTTAAATTTATGAGAACAAGAACCTTAAACAAATAGTGAACTCTAGGTAATGATATGTATGATAAAGTATTAAGGGTGAAATGTGCTAATGCCTGCAACTTTACATTGAAATGCATAAAAATAAAGGATAGCTACATGGGTAGATAAGTGATAAAGTATAATCATAAAGTAAAGTAATGTCAATCTAGGTGGCTGGCATATAGGTGTTCACTGCAAAGTTTAGGTAATTTGTATGTTTGAAAATTTTCAGAAGTTACAGGAAACAAAACCAATTTATTTAAGCCACCGTTCATTACATTTTCAATTTGTTATCAACATATTCCTTACACTGATACCAAAACAAGGATTTAAAAAAATTTTTTTTAATGTTTATTTTAGAGAGAGAGAGACAGAGTACGAACAGGGGAGGGGTAGAGAGAGAGGGAGACACAGAATCCAAAGCAGCCTCCAAGGCAAGGCTGTAAGCACAGAGCCTGATGAGGGGCTCAAACTCACAAACCCTGAGATCATGACCTGAGCCGAAGTCAGAAGCTTGACCGACTGAGCCACCCAGGCACTCGAAAACAAGGATTTTCTATAAAGTGAATGACACTGGCCCTAACACTTATTCATTCATTTAACAAACATTTACTAGGTACCTACCATGTGCTGGACCTTGTGCTCTTGATGGTGTTATGATCTTGTGAGGAAAAAAGTCCCTACTGCTGCGAATCTTATAATGTAGCAGAGATGACAAACACATACTATCAAACCAATAAATATGTAACTACTGTGATCACAATTACAATGAAACATACTGGGGCTCTAAGGCCACTGACAAGAAGACCTGACCTGTAGTGGGGTGGAGTAATCAGGTAATGCATCATGGGGGAAATGTGCATGATGGGTAGAGGTAATAAGGTGAAGAACAGTAGCAACATGGGCAAATTAGCTGAGATAAGAGGAAGTGAAAGGAGGCTTTGTGACCAAAGCACCAACAGAAAGGAGAGTCCAACCTACTGACAGGTCCTGGAAGAGAGTCTACTTTCCACTGGTCTTTGATCCTATCTCTAACTTTACCCAAGATCTTTCATGCATGCTATTAAAGTAACTGTAGGTGCTCTAGTCTCACAAGAAGCAATCAGACTAGGCAGGAACTTTTTTTTTTTTTTTAATTTTTTTTTTTTAATGTTTTATTTATTTCTAGGAGAGAGAGAGAGACAGCGTGAGCAGGGGAGGGTCAGAGAGAGAGGGAGTCACAGACTGAAACAGGCTCCAGGCTCTGAGCTGGCAGTCAGCACAGAGCCCGACGCGGGGCTTGAACCCGAACCGCGAGATCATGACCTGAGCGAAAGTCGGACGCTTAACCGACTAAGCCACCCAGGCGCCCCGGAACTTCTTTAATAATGGCTATTACATACTCAATAAACCAAAATGGCTATTCAAAGCCACTTTGTTTTTTGTTTTAAGTAAATTCTACCCCCAACACAGGGCTCTAACTCACAACACTGAGATCAAGAGTCACATAAGTAAATCAAATATTCCCTTTTATAATCAGGACCCAAGCTACCTCAGGGACATGACAGGGAGATGAGATGTAGCAGCTTCCATCTCATTCCTTTATTTTGACACTCAAACCAAAGTTTCTACCAAGGAACCTCTTAAAGCTCCTCCCACCCCCCAAGTGGAAAGGAGAATAAGCATGCTGGGATGCTTGGCAGGACTTTATGTGTATAAAATTACCCATTTTTCTTGAAAATCTAATATAGCTCCTAGTTACAAATTTAAAGCTGTAGTTTCGCGCACATAGGTAGCTCAGTTGATTGAGTGTTCAACTCTTGATTTTGGCTCTGGTCATGATCTCAGTTTGTGAGATGGAGTCCCATGTTGGACTTTGCCCTGTTAGCTGCTTGGGATTCTCTCTCTCCCTCTTTCCCTCTCTCTTGTGCCTTACCCCCACTTGTGCTCTCTCAAAATAATCTTAAAACAAAAAAGTTGTAGTTGCTATTTACAGAAAAGCCACAGGCTCAAAGTGACTGAAAAGGTCAGCCCTCTTCTATAGCTGAGTACCTCTGGACAGTCCAAGCCAGGCACCAGCCTTCAGTGAGCACTGAACTCAGCCCAACTAGCTACCCTGGACACAGAAGGGCCTCCAGAGGTATCCCACACACCTTACTTTGTTTCTTCTGCTCTTACTTTTCATAGTATTAAATACTACTTATTGGGCATCTACTCCATGTCTGTGTTTTATATTGTCCCCTCTTGATCCCCAAACCTTGCAAAGTAGTATCATGAACTTCATTTTACAGTTAAGCTCAGGGGAGAGTATTGAGTCAGGAAACTTTCTTCTGCCAAAATAGATAGCCCAGCTCTCCAAAATAGTTTAAGCAAAAAGAGGACTTGCCATCTCACATAACCAAAATACACTAATAATAGTAAAGGCACAACTCAATCCAGGAGTCATTTCTGCCTCTCAAGTCTATACCCTTTCTTGGAGGTGGTAAGGATTATTGCTAGGATAACTGAACATTCTGTAACTGCTCCTTTCCATGTCTCATCACATTTTACTGCTTCTTTTTGGGTTGCCTACCCATCCCCAAACCACTCATTTGGGCTGAACAAGGATATCTACTAGCTGTTTTAGACAAAAGTCTAGGATCCAGCTCTGGAAGTCTGACAAGGGGTCTGAGAAATGAGGAAAGGGTGGATGGCCATAAAGCAACTACTACTCAGACTAAGTAACTATACACCACTTTCTTTCACATTGGGCAATCCTCTGTGACCATTTGACCTCACCCTTGTACTTGCTGCCTTTCATATAAAGTCCTTCCCATACTACTGGTTTTAGCCTGGTTACCCTATCAGTTTGAGCTAAATCTTAGGCTTCATTCTCTCTTGAGAGTAAGCAAAAGCCCACAAAAACACCAAATAGATTCCTGGACAATCCAAGGATGGGGCAGTAAAATGAGCAGGTGACTCCAGACCAGGGCATCCAGCCAGGGGAGTAAATTAGAACTGAAAGGCACTCTGCTCACAAAGCCTCTGTCATAGTGCAGGGCTGCTACCGAAAGAAAAGGACACTTTTTTTTTTTTTTTTTTTTAATTTGCAGTAATGCATCCCATGGTCTTTAATTCTTTGGCTCATAGTCAATTCTACTTTAGGGAATTTCCATTCCAGCTTTCCTTCCATTCCTCTCCCTTCTTCCCTCTTTCTGTCTCTCTCTCCAAGTAAGATCCATTCCAGGATATCCTTCTCTCACCTCTTAGCTTTTAGGATTCCCTAACTCTCCCTCATGGAGTAGACATAGCTGGTTGTCAGAAGGGAGAACATCAGGAAGAGGACCATCAGTATCTTTATCCCAACTTAATCCCTGGATGCCCCAAGGAGTAACTGCAACCTAGCTACAAAACCATAAAAAGCCCATTAATTATAGTCTCTGACATAATGGTCACACTTTCCTCTCCAGAATAGGTCATATTTTATTTATCAAAAATAAAGAATAAGAACGGAAAACATGTGAAAGGGATTGGCTCTATGTGACAGTAAGTATTATCATTCAAAAGCACTATTGTGCCATGTCTATTGTGTGCATGGGTTTTGGTGTTAGAAACATGCTTTCATTTCTTTATTCAGAAAATATTTTCTCAGAGCCTGACAGCTTTTGATGAGGCTTCTCATCTCTCTAAAACCCTCTTTACACCCAGATCTTTGCATGGCTGACTCCTAAGCATCTTTCAAACTTATATACACTTTGGGTTGTTCTACATTCCTCCAATGTAGAAACTGCCCAAAACTGAGAGACAGCTTGTAGTTTTCCAGGACATTTGGTACCTTTCAGTCTTCATGTTCTGCCATGGTCTGGGAAGCTATTAGGTTAAACCAGATGAATATGCCTTTATATAAAAATGAAAATGTTATATTTTTCAGAAAAAGTTTTATTCAACCAAAATATGTGCTGTTAGCACATAACTGCTTTCTCCAAATGACAAATTTCTCCAAATATTAAATTATATATGTATAAAATTCAGTATTGTTAACAGTTATACAAATCCTTGTTCTCTATTGGAGAATGTTGTTTCTTAGACTTCCAAATGATGAAAAAGGTGGTAATCTGATGAAAAAAGGTCAGGTGAGTGTGAGGGATATGGCAAAAGTTCTTGGCCTAATTCAGTTATTCCCTAGGGTGGTCTGCAATTGCAGTGGTCAAATGTTGTCATCAAAAAGTATAGGTCCATGTCTGTTAATGAATGCAGAGTGCTTTTACGTCCACTTTTATACATAACTTCAACCCCTTGACAATTAAGATGCTACTGTTAGTTTTGTCTGGGTTAAAAGTAATAAATATTCTCTTTGGAGACCACCATTATTACTAGAATCTTCATTTTGGTTGCAATGATGATTTTCACACGTTTGGAAACTTCATCAACATCCAGCCACTGTCCAGACCACTTTCATTTTTTGTCAAAGCTTATGATCCTCTCCAGAATAGGTCTCTGCTCTTTCAAATCCTAAGGTATGAGCACATCTCTAATCATCTCCATTTATGATCATCCATCAGTTGGTGTGGTACCTACCCATTTGTCCAACTTTTTCACCTTTCCTATTGCAGCCAGATGTCGAGAAATTGTTGTAGCAGAAACTCCTAAGTCTGCTGCAAGGCCTCTAATTGCTGTTTTGGGGTTAGCTTCCACCATGGCTCTCAATTGATCTTCATTTAAAACAGATTTGGGTCTCCCTCGAGGCTCATTTTTCAGACTCAGATCCCCAGAACGAAATTTTTCAAACCACCACCGGACAGTCCTTTCACTAACAGAGCCTTCTCCAAACACAGAATTGATGTTTCTACTTGCCGTGGCTGCACTATGTCCTAGTTTAAATTCATATAAAAACAGTATTCGCAAATCTTTCAAAGATATGGTACAGTCCGCTTCTGTGGGGGAAACAAACAATAAAAACTCAGCCATCGAAGAAAACTGAAGACCATAATATCATTATGAATACTAAACAACATACCTGAAAACAGACCTGATATCAACTTTACCAATCATGGTCAAGTTTCAACTAGTCAAATGTCGGAAATTTCATCTGGAGAACACACGTTTTTTTACCACTGTGTTCTGCTGCCATCAGTTTATATCAAGCAGATGACTTTACAATAAGAATACAATTTCTAGTAATTTTGTAAATATTACTTTAAAATAAATGATTTTGAACTAAAATATAAGTTGTGCTTTTAAGTCTAGGAACTCAATGCCACACTAATTTTTTCTGTACTATCAATTAAGATTTCAGATAAGTTTAATGCTTAGAAAAAAATTCTCCCATATGGGCTCATAAACACCTGTTTCTTATGTTTTTTTATAGAAGTATTTTTAGGTGTCCTCTTCCCTGTTTCACATGATCTGAATGACTGCTACTTCACGTGTTCTTTACATTTTCTAAATCCTTATTTACTATGGAATTTTCCTTCTTTCAATTTATTGCTTCACTTTCTTTGGCTTCATACATAATTTTGGGTGTAAATGAATAAAAATAATACTTCAGGTATATGAAAGAACTGTTTGTCCAGGTTCACATTTCCCCCTGGGTCAAAAGTAAATAAATACGGGGGCGCCTGGGTGGCTCAGTCAGTTAAGTGTCCAACTTCAGCCCAGGTCATGATCTCACGGTTCATGGGTTCGAGCCCCACATCGGGCTCTGTGCTGACAGCTAGCTCAGAGCCTGGAGCCTGCTTCGGATTCTGTATCTCCTTCTATCTGACCCTTCCCTGCTCACTCTGCCTCTTTCTCTCTCAGAAATAAATAAAAACATTATTAAAAAAAGTAAATACATATTTTTAGTTATTACCAAATTTCCCTTCCAAAGGATTATAACAATTCACGTTCCCAACAGCAATGTATGGGAGTATCCATTTCTCCACAGCTTCACCAACAAAGTATACTGTCATATTCAACAATTTTTTTCATTGATAGGTATTATTTTAATTTCATTTCTCTAATTATGAGTGAATTTGAACGTTTTTTTAATATACTTCAGGCCATTACCATGTCTTATTTTTTTGAGTTGTCTCTTCATGTCTGATTCACATTTTTATATCAGGCTTTTGGAACTCTGCCCCTCAAATCTTTTGTTTTGTTTTATTTTGAAACCTTAAATCTCATAACCATTGTTTATTACCAAGGTGAACTCTAATCTTCATGATGGGCTTATCAATAGGATTTCTGGTAGAAAATATGGGTACCAGGGCCTCCAAACTTTTTGGATTTGCTGTGATGGGGATCCACTACCACCAGCAGGATCCAGTCATAATGGATGGGGATGTCTGTGGGCTCCTTGGAAGCCTCATCCACGTATTTCTAGTAATAGGGACACCAGGGCTTTGGAGCTGAGACTGGTGAACTGTGCAAATCTGGACCACATGACTACCACCATTCACGCAGATTCAAACATCCATCCCAGGAAATCATTCCTTGCCCAGAAGCAGAACAGATTCCAGTAGCTTGTACTACAGTGTGCACTGACAGATCATCTCCAGGGGCTGTCCGTTCATCTGGATAAGGCTGTTGCCCTGTTTGCAATGCACCAGGAAGTGCACTGGCCATCTTCTTGTGTCCAAGGACCTGCATGGACTGCAGAGGGCCACTGGACTGCATGGCTGCCAGTGTGGACAAGAGCTCCTCACTGCCTGACACTGCAACCTGAAAAGCTTTTGTCCCTCAAATTTTACGAGCTGTTTAAATATAAAAAATATTGTCCTTTTTAAGGGTATACATTGTGAATTTTTCCCCCAGTTTCTCTTTGACAAATTTTTACTTACGGGATTTTTTTTTCTATGCAAGAATTTAATTTAGTGAAATTTATCAATCTTTTCTTTTAATGCTTCTGGATTTTAAGTCTCAGTTAGCAAGCCTACACACCAACCATATAGGAATTAACTCATGTTAATGGGGGATAAAGATGGCTCTTTTAATAATAGTGCAGGGACAAGTGGGTAGACATTTGGGAAATGCTAAAAGTGGATCATTCATTGTTCCATGAAAAAAAGTAGATCATTTCCAAAAAAAGTTTCCAAAAACTTTCCAAAGTTCAGCAAAGTTGTCAAATACAAGAATAAAAATCAGTTCTGCTTTTATACACCAGTGATGAATAACCTGAAGAGAAAACTAAAAAAGTAATTCCATTTATAACAGCACCAAAAATAATAATTACGAATAACTCTAAACAAGGAGGTAAGATTTTATGCTGAAAACACTGCTGAAAGAAATTAAGATCTAAATAAATGAAAAGACAATCATATTCATAGACAGGAAGACTTAACATCATTAAGATGTCAGTATTACCTAAGCAATCTACAAATTCAACGTAATCCCTATCAAAAGTCCAATAGCCTTTTTGGCAGAAATGGAAAAGCAGATCCTCATTTTCATATGGAATCATAAGGGGCCCTGAATAATCAAAATAATCTTGTAAAAGAGTAAGGTTGGAGAATTCACACTTCCCAACTTTGAAACTTACTACAAAGCCACAATAATTAAAACAATATGGTATGGGCATAAGAACAAATATAAAGACCAATGGATTAGAAAGAAACCCTCACACATATGGTCAACTGATTTTCAACAAGGGTGTCAAGACCATTCAGTGTGAAAGGATGGTTTTTCAACAAATGGTACTGAGAAAACTATATATCCACAGGTAAAAGAATGAAGTTGGACCCTAACCCAGACCTTATACAAGAATTAATTCAAAAATGGATCAAAGACCTAAATGTAAAAACTAAAATTACAAATGTCTTTAAGAGAACTTTAAGGAAAATCATCATGGCACTGGATTTGGCAACAATTTAATGGATATGACAACAAAAGTAACAATAGGTAAACTGGACTACATCAAAATTTAAAACTTCAGGGCAAAAGACACAACTAATAGTGAAGAGGCAACCTACAGAATAGAATATTTCCAAATCACATATCTGATAAGGGATAAATATCCAGAATATATATAGAACTCCTACAACTCAACAACAAAATACAAATAGCTAGATTTAAAAAAAAAAAAAAATTAACGCTTATTTATTTTTGAGAGACAGAGCACAAGCAGGGAAGGGGGAATAGAGAAGAGAGGGAGACACAAAATCCAAAGCAGGCTCTAGGCTCTGAGCTGTCAGCACAAAGCCCAATGTAGGACTCAAACCCACGAACAGCAAATTCATGACCTGAGCCAAAGTTGGATGCCATACCGATTGAGCCTCTGAGGCACCCCACAAATAACCAGATTTTAAAATGAGCAAAGTACTTGAATAAATATTTTTTTTTAAATGTTTATTTATTTCTAGGAGACAGAGAGAGAGACAGCGTGAGCAGGGGAGGGTCAGAGAGAGAGGGAGTCACAGACTGAAACAGGCTCCAGGCTCTGAGCTGGCAGTCAGCACAGAGCCCGAAGCGGGGCTCGAACCCACAAACTGTGAGATCATGACCTAAGCGAAAGTCGGACGCTTAACCAACTAAGCCACCCAGGCACCCCTTGAATAAATATTTCTTAAACAAAAATATACACAAGGCCAACAAGGATTTGGTAAGATGCTCAACATCATTAATCATTAGGGAAATGCAAATCAAAACCACAATGAGATATCAACTCACACCCAACAGGACAGCTACTAGTAAGAGAAAATAACAAATGTTAGTAAAGACATAGAGAAATTGGAACCCTTGGGCACAGTTGGTGAGAACAGAAAATGATACAAGCCTCTATGGAAAACATGTTGGTTTCTCAAAAATTAAGAACAGAATTATCATATGATCCAATAATTCCAATTCTGGGAATATATCCAAAAGAACTGAATACAGAGTCTCAAAGAGGTATTTATACACCCACATTCACAGCATCATTATTCACAATGGCCAAAAGGTGGAAACAACCCAAGTGTCTATCAACCAATAAATGGATAAAGAAAATGTGGTAATTACATACAATGGAATATTATTCAGCCTTAAAAAGAAGGAAGTTCTGGGGTGCCTGGATGGCTCAGTTGGTTGAGCATCTGACTCTTGATTTTGGCTCAGGTCTTGATCCTAGGGTTGTGGGATTGAGCCCCACATCAGGATCCATGCTGAGTGTGGAGCCTGCTTAAGATTCTCTTTCTCCCTCTGCTCCTCCCCTGCTATCTCTCTGTCTAAAAAACAAAAGAGAGAAAGGAAATTCTGACATATCCTACAACACAGATGAACCATGAAGATATGATGCTAAGTGAAATAAAACAGTCACAAAAAGACATATTGTGTGATTCTACTTAAAGGGCATAGCTAGAATAGTCATACTCTTAGAGACAGAAAGTAGAATAGAGGTTAGCAGAGACTAGTGGGGGAAGGAGGAATGGGAGTTGCCATCACCAAGGTGATGGAGTTTCAGTTTGGGAAGATGAAAAGATTCTGGAGATCCACAGTACAAAGATGTGAAGGTACTTAATACTATGAACTATATACTTAAAAATAATTAGGATGGTAAATTTTATATTTTTTGTATGTTACTACAATTAACAATAAAAATCAAAGAAAAATTAGGTAAGTTGGACCTCATCAAAATGGAGAATTTTGTGCATCAAAGGACGCTATCAAAAAAGTAAAAAGACAACTTACAAAATGGGAAAAAATACTTGCAAAGCATACTTCTGACAAGGGATTAATACTGAAAATACATAAAGAGTTTCTATAGCTTAACAAACAACCAAAACAGCCCAATTAAAAATGGGCAAAGGAGTTGAATAGACATTTCTCCAAAGAAGATATACAAATGGCCATAAGCACATGAAAAGATGCTTAAAACTGCTAGTTTTAGGGAAATGTATATCAAAACCCAGTAAGATAACAGTTTACACCTACTAGGATGGCTATAATTAAAAAAAAAATCAGAAAATGATAAATGTTGGTCCAAATATAGAAAAATTGGAACCCTCATGCATTGCTTATGGGAATGTAAAATAGTGCAACCACTGCAGAAAAGATTTTTACATTTCTTCAAAAGGTTAAACATAAAACTACCATATGACCCAGCAATTCCACTCCTAGGTATGAACTGAAACCAAGGATTCAAACAGATATCTGTATACCAATGTTCATTACAACAACCCTAGTGTCCATCAGCAGATGAATTAATTTAAAAAATGTAGTATATATATATAATGGTAATTATTCAGCCATAAAAAGTAATGAAATTTTTATATATACAACATAATAGGCTTTGAAAACATTATGCTTAGTAAAATAAGCCAAACACAGAAGGACAAATATTATATAATTCCACTTATATATGAGGTACCTGGAATAAGCACATTTACAGAGACACAAAGGAGAGATTTCCAGGGATTTGGGGAGATTTGGGGGAGGAGTGGAGAGGAAGAGATTGTTTAATGGGTATAGTGTTTATGTTGGGAATGATAAAAAAAGTTTTAAGTATAAATAGCAGTGATGGCTATACAGAATTGTGAATGACTTTAATACCACTTAATTGTACACTTACAAATAGTTAAAATGATATTGTGTGTATTTTACCACAATAAAAAAAAAGAAGAGGGGCGCCTGGGTGCTTAGTCGGTTAAGCGTCCGACTTTCGCTTAGGTCATGATCTCGCGGTTCGTGGGTTCGAGCCCCGCATCGGGCTCTGTGCTGACTGCCAGCTCAGAGCCTGGAGCCTGTTTCAGAGTCTGTGACTCCCTCTCTCTCTGACCCTCCCCTGCTCACGCTGTCTCTCTCTCTCTCTCCTAGAAATAAATAAAACATTTAAAAAAATTTTTTTTAAAAAAGAAGAAAAGGTCCATCTTTACCCTAATAATCTGAAATACCACCTTTCTCATATACTAACTTTCCATAGGAATCTGGGTCTAATTCTGACTTTTTTATTCTTTTCCACTGGTCTATTTGTCCCTGCCAATGCCACGTTTTAATTAGTAGGGCAATTCAACCCTTATAGTTTCTCTTTTTAAGTGTTTCTCTGGCTATTTATAAAATTGGTTTTATTGAGATATAATTTACATCCCATACAATTTACCCATTTAAAACATACAATTTGGTGATTTTCGGTATACTCACAGGGATGTGAATCCACTTTTAGGACACTTTTCCTCTTTCAAAAGAAACTGTGTCTAATTAACAATTGTTCCCTATTCTCACCCTCACCTTTTCCCAGCCCTAAACCATTAATCTATTTACTATTTATATATCTATCTATGTGAACATTTCTTATAATTAGGATCATAAAATATGTGACCTTTTATAACTGACTTCTCTCACATAGCACATTTTCAGGAGTCATTCATGTTGTAGTACATATCAATATTTCCTTTCTTTTTACTGTCAATAATATTCCATTATATGGATATACCACATTTGTTGATTATCGTTGATGGACATCAGGACTGTCTCTTTTTAGCTATTATGAATAATACTGCTAATAACATTCACAAAGGTTTTGTGTCCAGTTCTGTTTTCAACTCTCTTGGGTTTATACCTAAGAGTGGAATTGCTGGATCGTATTTTAATTGTGTATTTAACCATTTGAGGAACTGATAGATTGTTTTCAAAGTGTCTATACCATTTTACATTCCTAAGAGCAATGTAGGAGTGTTTCAACTTTTCCACTTCCTCTCCAAAACTTGTTATTTTCTGTCTCTATTACTGCATCTTAGTGGTGTCAAGTAGTGTATCTCATGGTTTTGATTTGCATTTCTCTAATGACTAACAAAAATCTTTTGGTATAGTTGTTGGTCATTTGTATATCTTCTTTGGACCAATCCTATTCAAATCTTTTGTCCATTTTTTAAATGAGTTATTTCTCTTTTTATTATTGAGGATAAGAATTCTTTATACATTCCAGATAAAAGTACCTTATCAGATATGTGATTTGCAAATAGTTTTTCCCATTCTGTAAGTTGTCTATTTTCTTGATGATATCTGCAGCAAAAAGTTTTGAATATTTATATAATCAATTAATATATGTAGTATGTATGTATTTATGTATGTCATTTGAGCATTGGGTGTCATATTTAAGAAAACACTGCCTAACCTAAGGTCACTAAGGTGTACTGCTATGCTTTGCTCTAGGAGTTTTAGTTTCATTAGCTCTTATCATTTAGGTTTATTTTATGATCTATTTTTTTAACTGAATTCTTTTTTCTTAATTTTTTAAATGTTTTTTATTTATTTCTGAGAGAGAGAGAGACAGCGTGAGCAAGGGAAGGTCAGAGAGAGGGGGAGACAAACAGAATCCGAAACAGGTTCCAGGCTCTGAGCTAGCTGTCAGCACAGAGCCCGAAGCAGGGCTCAAACCCAGAAACCATGAGATCATGACCTGAGCTGAAGTCAGATGCTTAACCGACTGAGCCACCCAGGCGCCCCAGGTTTATGATCTATTTTGAATTAATTTTATATGTGGCATGAGCTAGGTTCCCAACTTCATTATTTTTGCATGGTATCCCAACACTATTTACAGAAAAGACTATTATTTCCCATTTAATTTCTTGCGGACTCTTACTAAATGCCAACTGATGATTTTACTGGTTATTTTTGCATGTTTGTTTTTCCACATGAACCTTAAAATCAGCTTGTCTGACTCAATAAAACTTATTAGAATTTTTATTAAGATTGCACTGATTTTATAAATTAACTTGGGAGGATTAACATTTTTATGATTTTGAATCATCCTAGTCAGGAACAAAGGACATTTTACCATTTGCTTAAATGTGCTTTAGTGTCTTTTAGGAGTGTTTTCAATTTTCTTTGTATAGGTTTTATATCTTTCTTATTAAGTTTATTCCTAAACATTTAATCCTCCATGTTGCTATTGTAAATAGGCTTTCCTCTAACATTATGTTCAGGTTAGCTATCTGTATATATGAAAGTTGATTTTTATATGTTAATTTTAAATCCTGATCCTTACTGAATTCTTTTACTGTAGGAGTTAGTTTGTTATTGATTCTCTGGAGTAGTTATACTATGATCTGTAAATAGGTATTGTTCTACTTGTTCTTTACTCATTTTTATACCTCTTACTGATTTCTCTTATTTAATTCACTTGGCTAATTTACTTTTAACATAATGCTAAACAGTAGAGAAGATAGTGTAGATGCTTGTTCCTGATATTAATGGAAATGCCTATAGTGTTCCTCCCATTTAAAGATATAGTTTTAATGCTAAGATGTACACTTCATCGGGTTAAAAAAGTAGTCTTCAAGGGGCGCCTGGGTGGCTTAGTTGGTTAAACATCTGACTTTGGCTCAGGGCATGATCTCGCAGTTCATGAGTTCGAGCCCCACAGTGAGCTCTGTGCTGACAGCTCAGAGCCTGGAGCCTGCTTCAGATTCTGTGTCTCCCTCTCTCTGTTCCTCCCTTGCTCACTGTGTCTCTCTCTCCTCTCAAAAATAAACATTAAAAAAAATTTTTTTAAGTTGTCTTCAATTCCTATTTTCTTGAGTATCTCTATAATGAATGGGTACTTATTTTGCCAAAGGTTTTCTTAGTCTACTGAGTTTATTTTTTCTTTATATTTATTAACATGGTATATGACACTAACAGGTTCTCTTATATGATACCAATCCTGCATTCCTGGAATAAATCCTGTCTTTGTTTTTTCCTCTGCCTAGAATTTGCTTTCCCTGGTTTTCATATGTTTAGCCCCTTCATCTATTCAGACCTTATCAAATATCTCCTCCTCAGAGATGCATTCCCTGAGCATTCAGTCAAAAGTAGCTTTCAAGTTAACCTCTAGGACAGTACCCTATTTTAATTTCCTACCCAGCACTTATTACTGATATTTTCTCCATATATCCCATATGTATATTCCTCTGCATATACCTTCAACCATTATGACCACAATGAACCTATCTTGGTAGTAGATTTATTACTGTATGCCCAAAATACATAGTATATGGCATATGTTAGGTACTCAATAATTGTTGATAATAAATCTATTGCCATTTTGGGTTGACTATTATTACAAATGTGACTTTATCATAGCAAAAAATAAGAGTAACAAAAACCTACCTCTCACTACACTTATGGTATAAATCCAGATTTCTAATTTTTAGAGAGAAAGCTACAATCTCAAATAAAATTGAAGTCAGCAGCTTTGCAGCTAGTCTAAATCAGTGAATTGAAAAAAATTAAGTGGTACTAAAAAATATTCTAATACTAAAATCAAGGTTTCCTTTTTCCCAGTTAACATTATCTAATTAAAATTTCTCATTAAAATTTGCTACAAAATTTATCAGTAAAGGAGTTAACATTTAAATTGGATAAAGAATCAATGTAAATGACTTGCTGTATCTAATAAAAACCAAAATGTACTTCACTAGATTTTAGTATTATAACTTTACCAGCAAAAAAAAAAAATTTTAACTCACAGAAATTAATTTTAACTTTATATGAAGAAACCACAAAAGACAGAGAGGTGGTAAACTCTCTCAATTACCTGTAAAAGGTGATGATTTCTCTGAATGTTTTACTTTTAGAAGTTTCCTTTTAATAAATATATAACCACAGGGACAAGATTTACATGCAACAGGAACCTGGAAGGGGAAAAAAAAGGAAAAAAAGTTACTATTTTATTATTTATTACACTTCTCAAGTGTTTATGTGGTCTCTTCAACAAAACAATAAATTACTTGAAGGTAGAAATCATATTTTTATTTAAACTCCATCTCCTCATAAAAATTATTCAAGATAGGAAATCATACCCATCCCATTCTCCTAGTCCTTTACAGTTCCATGCATATGGTAAATGTTTAATAACACTAATATGAGTGGCCACAGAAACAATGTAAAGTAAAAAACAAACAAACAAAACAAAACAACTATTTCCTAAAATGTCTCAGAATAGTTACAACATGGATTAGATTAGAAGAAAACAACTAGTTAGGAAACTATTACATTAATCCCAGGATGAGAGGCTGTTGGCCTGTTCTGCAATGCTGGCAGGGAAATGTATTTCAAAAGAAAAAAGAATACATTTGACAGACATTTTAAAGGGAGGAAGGAGGGGCACCTGGGTGGCTCAGTCTTGGTATCAGCTCAGGTCATGATCTTACAGTTTGTGCGTTCAAGCCCAGCATCGGGCTCTGGACTGACAGCACAGAGCCTGCTTGGGATTTCTCTCTCACCCTCTCTCTCTGCCCCACTCCTGCTGGTACTGTCTCTCAAAAGAATTAACTATGTAAACACTTAAAAAAAGGTAAAACAAAGGGAGGAAGGAACAAGACTTAGACACAAATTGATTACAAATGATAAAGTAGAACTAAAAACCCATCATTTCTTTTTATGGTCCATTGGTTATTTCAGAGTACGTTGTTTAATTTCTATAATTTATGAATTTGCTAGTTTTCCTTTCTGTTGTTGATTTCTAACTTCATTCTGTTGTGGTTGAAGAAGATATTTTGAATAATATCTGTCTTTAAAAAAATGAACTTTGATTCTTACCTTATGCCATATACAAATAATATTTCAAGATGAAACTTCTAGAAAATACTAAAAAACATCTGCCTTCAAGAGTTTGAACATGAGAGAGGAAGAGGGCCAGTATCAATTACTGGAAAAGGATCATTTACAAATTTACAATAGCCAGTTTGAGGGAAAGAATATGGAAGACTATAAAAAAAGATGCCAAACATAGGTTCTCCTAGTCTCCAGTTGAGGAAAAACCTTGAACAAATCTCATAAGCCCTGCAGGTTTCTGTTTTATTTTTTTTAATATTTAGTTATTTTTGAAAGAGAGACAGACAGAACGTGGGGGGGGGGGGTAGAAAGAGAGGGACACACAGAATCAAAGCAAGCTTCAGGCTCTGAACTGTTAGCACAGAGCCCAACGTGGGGCTTGAATTCACAGAACTGAAAGATCATGACCTGAGCCAAGTCAGATGTCCAACTGAATGAGCCACCTAGGTGCCAATTTTCTTTTCTAAAGTCTTTACTACCAGAGGTAGGTCATAATCTTTACATATTTTTATTTAATTTTTTAGAGAGAGAGAGAGAGAGCAGACTGGCATACAAGAGTGGGTGAGGGGCAAAGGAAAAGGGAGAGAGAGAATTGTTTTAAAACATTTTTTTAAAATGTTTATTTATTTTTGAGAGAGAGATACAGAGCATGAACAGGGGAGGGGCAGAGAGAGAGAGGGAGACTCAGAATCCCAAGCAGGCTCTGAGCTGCCAGCTATGAAGCCTGACATGGGGCTCGAACTTACAAACTATGAGATCTCTATATTTTCCAACTCCTTTAAAAGTATAGGGGTACTCTGTTTAAATTTAGTAGGATCCCAGGTATAACTGTAATTTGAGCCCCAGTATCAACTTAGGCTAAAAAGGTTTACCACTCATACACTTCAGCAGATGTTCAAGTTAACCCAGAACCTATGCTGTAGAGACACACAAAGCAATCAGCCCTTTCATCTTTTCATTGCACAAAATCTAACAGCAAATTTTGAAATTCTAATTGGGTTAAACTGTGGACATATTTCAATCTTTTGTTTCTTAGGTCTCTCTGGGCTTTTGGCTATCTCCTCAACAAGGTCTGTAGTGCTACTCATGAGTTTCCTTTCCCTGTGCCACAGCCAGAAATTCTCTTAAGGCAATAACCCAGGGCAATCGTAAGGCTCATCTAATTTGTATCTCAATTCTGAGTCATAATCCTTCATTACCTGATGTCCAATGTCCTGAAATCCATTGTTTCGAACGTTTCATCTGTCTTTTATGGATGTTACAGTTAGGAGAAAAAAATCTGCTCTCTGTTACTCCATCTTGGCAAAAAACAGAAGTCTTTCATCATATCTTTTTTTTTTTTTGGCTTCTTTGCTTTTTGCTTTTTTGTTTACTTTTTATTTAAGGAAATAGGATCACATGCAATTATAAGAAATACTATTGAGAAACCCTTATCCACTTGCCTAGTTTCCTCCAATAGTAACTCTTTGCAAAACTATTATATGTATTATGTGTATTATACACACACATATATAATATGCATATGTATATATACATATATGTACATATCATATGTGTGTGTATGTATATATAGATATTACATACTGACATCATATATACATATATAACATATACATATATTGATATCACAAACAGGATATCAATTTGATACAATCCACTGTGATTTTACTCAGACATTTCACATTTCAATATTTAAACACCTGCAAAAAAAAAAAAAGAAAAGAAGAAAAACAACTTTTAATGATATTGTTCACATGATGAGCACTCAGTGTTGAATGTAAGTGATGAGTCACTGAATTCTACTCCTGAAACCAATACTGCACCATATTTAACCAACTAGAATTTAAATAACAATTTGAAAAGAAAAAAATAAAGATACTGCTCCAAAAATAGTTTCACTAATGACGATCCTTTAATCAAGAATTATTCACCAAAAACCAGAAAAGAATTTCAACAAAACAGTACAAACAAGAATAAGTACAATCAGGGGCAGTTGGGTGGCTCAGTCAGTTAAGCAGCCAACTTTGGCTGAGAACATGATCTCACTACTCATGAGTTCCAGCCCAGCATCGGGCTCTGTGCTGACAGCTCAAAGCCTGGAGTCTGCTTTGGCTTCTGTCTGTCTCTCTCTCTGTCTCTGTCTCTGCACTTCCCCCACTCTCATATTCTGTGTCTCTCTCAAAAATAAACATTAAAAAAAATTATTTTTAAAGTACAATCAGAAAGCTATAATTTAATATGTAAACATGTCCATTCTCGAGGCACCTGGGTGGCTCAGTCAGTTGAGCACTGGGCTTCGGCTCAGGTCATGATCTCATGATTCGTGGGTTCAAGCCCCACATTGGGTTTTGCACTAATAGCCTGGAGTCTGCTTTGAATTCTCTCAGTCTTTGTCTCGTTCTCTCTCTGTCTGTCCCTCCCCCCACTTATGCTTGCACACTCTCTCAAAAATAAACATTAAAAACCAAAAAAAAGGTCCAGGTTGAGGCTTCCAGTCAGCGTGGTCTGCGTGCCATCTCTGAGATTCTGACTTAACTGCTTTCCAGGTAAAATATGGCTAAAAGCTTACGGAGTAAGTGGAAAAGGAAGATGAGTGCTGAAAAGAGAAAAAAGAATGCCCCAAATGAACTCAGAACACTTAAAAGTATTCTTAAAATAGATGGTGATGTTTTAATGAAAGATGTTCAAGAGACAGCAACTGTGGTGGTACCCAAACGCTGTCAAGAGAAAACTGAATGTGTGGTGCAAGATGAAAAAGATGACATGAAAATGGAGACTGATATTAAGAGAAACAGAAAGAGTCTTCTCGACCAGCATGGACAATACCCCATATGGATGAACCAGAGACAAAGGAAAAGGCTGAAGGCAAAGAGAGAAAAAGGGAAAGGGAAAAGCAAAGCAAAGGCAGTAAAGGCAGCCAAGGGTGTGGCCTGGTAGACTCTTAAAATCTTGAAAAATTCTATATAGGACACATCTTCAATTAGAATGTGTACGTGGATTTCAACTTTCACCAAATGAAAACTGTGTTTCCAGATTTAACTTGGCCTTTTTCTTCAATTCAAACCCAACTTAACTCCTCACATTTGTTTTGGAAGCTTGATAAAATATTTTCTTTGATAAATGAAAGTGACACTGATGTTTTAATTGGATGCTGTCCAAAGTGCAGGGGTTCTCAGACATCAAAATTCTAGCAAGCGTTTCTGTGAATGTAATTGTTTGGTCTCCATGAAGATAAAAAAAAGATACTGACACATTTGAGCGAATTCAGGTTTAAAGAAAACTTACACAACTTAAAGTAAGCCAGTGGATCTTACAAGCACTACTTTTTTAGAGTTTTGATTTTGTTTAATTCAGAATAAAAAATATTTTTGTCTAGATCTTGAAGTTCTTTTCTTTCATATGTCCTTAAGGTTTTCTAGTAGACGAGAAGACCATCTTCAATCGTTACAAATATCTTAAGTTTTTAGGTAGAATATTAACATCTACAAATTAATATGCTCCTTTCTAGGAGACAGAAGATCCTGGGAACTGATTTAATGTTAATTTATATATTATGGAGCCTAATAAAAGACAACATTTCTCACCAAAAAAAAAAAAAGTCTAGTCTCCTGTTTTTCTTGAATAAAGCATAGATTTTTCAAGATGTCTCATACAGTACAACATATTTTGTCCAATTAAACTATTTAAAATTAATTAAGCTGTCTAATTACTGTGGCTAGAACTTTCAGTACTTTCTTGAATAAAAGTGGTGAGAGTAGATATTCTTGTCTTGCTCCCGACCTTAGGGGAAAAGTTCTGTTTTTCCCCATTGAATATGATGTTGACTATGGGTTTTTCATATATGGCCTTTATTATGCTGGGGTATGTTCCCTCTAGACCTACTTTGTGGAGGCTTTCTATCATGAATGGATGTTGTGCTTTGTCAATAATCATATGGTTTTTATCCTTTCTCTTATGGATGTATCACATTGATTGATTTATATATTGACTGAACCACTCTTGCATAAATCCCACTTGATTACGGTGAATTATAGCTTTAATGTATTGTTGGATTTGGTTCACTACTATTTTGTTGAGGATTTCTGCATCTATGTTCATCAGAGATACTAGCCTAAACTTCTCTTTTGTCTGGTTTTGGTATCAGGGTAACAGTAGCCTCATAGAATCAATATGGAAGCTTTCCTTTCTCTTCTATTTTTAGAATAGTTTGAGAAGAATAGGTATTAACTCTTCTTTAAATGTTTGGTAGATTCCCCTGGGAAGCCATCTGGCCCTGGACTTCTGTTTTTTGGGAGACTTTGATTACTAATTCCATTTATTTGGTGGTTATGGATCTGTTCAAATTTTCTATTTCTTTCTATTTCAGTTCTGGCAGTTTATGTGTTTCTAGGAGTTTATCCATTTCTTCCAGAATGTCTAATTTGCTGGCATATCATTTTTCATAATATTCTCTTATAATCCTTTGTATTTCTGTGGTGTTATTTCTCCTCTTTTATTTCTGATCTTGTTTGAGTCTTTTTTTCAAAAAAAAAAAGTTTATCAATTTTTGTTGATTTTTTCAAAGCTCCTGGTTTAAATGATGTTCTACTGGTTTTCGTTTGTTTGGTTTCTATTTTATTTTCTTCTGCTCTAATCTTTATTATTTCCTTCTACTGGTTTTGGGTTTGGTTTATTATTCTATTTCTAGCTCGTTTAGATGTAAGGTTAGATTATTTGAGTTTTTCCTTGTTTTTTGAGATAGACCTGTATTGCTATAAACTTCCCTCTTAGAACAGCTTTTGCTGCATCCTAAAGATTTTGGACTACTGTGTTCTCATATTCATGTGTCTTCATATATTTTTTAATTTCCTCTTTGATTTCTTGTTTGACCCATTTATTTTTTAGTAGCATGTTATTTAACCTCCATGAATTTGTGTTCTTTTCTAGGTTTTTTCTTGTGACTGACTTCTAGTTTTACAGTGTTGTGGTCAGAAAAGGTGCATGGTAGGGCCCCTAGGTGGCTCAGTTAAGCAACCAACTCGATTTCGGCTCAGGTCATAAACTCCCAGCTTATGGGTTTGAACTCCATGCTGGGCTCTGCACTGTGTCAACACAGAGCCTGCTTGGAATTCTTTCTCTCTCCCTCTCTCTACCCCATTTGTGAAAGGAAGGAAGGAAGGAAGGAAGGAAGGAAGGAAGGAAAGAAGGAAAGAAAGAAAGAAAGAAAGAAAGAAAGAAAGAAAGAAAGAAAGAAAGAAAGAAAAGAAAAGAAAGAAAGAAAAGAAAGGAAGAAAGAAAAAGAAAAAGAAAGGAAGAAAGAAAAGAAAGAAAGAAGGAAGGAAGGAAGGAAGGAAAGAAAGAAAGGAAGGAAAGAAAGAAAAGAAAAGAAAAGAAAAGAAAAGAAAGAAAGAAAGAAAGAAAGAAAGAAAGAAAAGAAAGAAGGAAGGAAGGAAAGAAAGAAAGGAAGGAAGGAAGGAAGGAAGGAAAGAAAGAAAGAAAGAAAGAAAGAAAAAGAAAGAAAGAAAGGAAAGGTGCATGTGATATTTTTGAGTTTGAGACCAGTTTTTCAGCCTAATATGTGTTCTGTTTTGGAGAATGTTCCATGTGTACTTGAAAGGAACATGTATACAGGGCACCTGGGTGGCTCAGTTGGGTAAGCATACAACTTCGGCTCATCCAGTCAGCCTAATCAAGTAGCGTTATTAGGCAATATTGTTATGGTAAAAATGGCCCCTTAATAAGGCATCTGGACTGGAAGGTACCCGGTGAGAAGTCACAGTTTTAGGCCTCCGTAAGTACAACATAATCACACTATTCCCTGCAAAACCTGGGAAGCAAAGGCCTTACTCATGGGCTGAGAAACATGAAATTTCTACGCCACGGTAAGTCTTGCAACCACTGGAAGGGTTTTTTGGGTGGGATTTTGTTTTTTGGTTTTCTTTTGTTTTTTTCCACACCTGAGCTGTCTGGATAGGCAGAGATAGTTCTTAGTATGCTATGAGGATCCTCACTGACCACAATTCTGATACTATTCTGATTACCCCAGGGGCCTGGAGTAAGCATGAATGACTACCTGCACTAGACCACTGGTGGTCATAAAGCCATTGCATGAGTTTATGATCTTACTTTATAAAGCAGATATTAAAAATTCACGAAACCACATACAGGTAGGAATGGCAAATCAGTTTTTAAGAATTTAGACACATATTATTCTAAGAGAGAACTGCCTAGAAAAACAGGGCTTTAACAGTAACTTGGTAATCAATGGTGTTCTATTAAAAATTTAGAAAAAATTAATGATTATCTGGGTTATGAAAAGTATTAAAAAGCACATTAAGATCATCAAATTAATGAAATCTAAAAGGGAAATGTCATTATGGCTGCGGCCCTTTTTGTCACCATATATATAGCTGATGGGAACAAAGCAACCCTTAGTGGCAGGAGCCTGGAGCCGGGCACATCGGGAATTCTCGTCGGGTTAGAAGGGAGCTGAACGGGCCGTGCTTGTCCACTTGGGCCGCTGCCCCCACACTCCCGCCGCTGTCACCAGGCCAGGCGACTCGGGGAGGGTCCAGACGGGGCGCCTCGTCTGCTCCAGACAAACCCACGCCTCCCTCCCGCTCCGCGGGCCGCCGGACACACACAGTCGCCCGGCTGACGCCGCCAGGTGGGCACCGGCCGGAATGCGGCCCCGGGAGTCTCCCTGCCACCCCGTCGGCTCAGCCCGGCCCATTCCGCGCTCCCACTGTAGCCTCCGAGCCCAAGGGCCGGCCCACCCGCTAGTCTACCCGGACCCGGCGAGGCGGCGTCTCCACAGTCAACGGCCGCCAGCAACGGCCGCCCGCCTGCACACCCGCCTCGGCGCCCACCTGTTGGTCGCACTCGGGGCACGACTTGGTGGCCATCTTCACTTTCTTGTTTCTTGTTGCAGACATGCTTCTCTCCAGCCGCAGCTGCGACGGCGATCGCGACGGCAACAGCGGCAGAAGCTAAGGCTCCTCCCCTTGTACCTCAGCCGCCCAACCTCGGCCAGCCGGGTCCCCTCTAGCCAGACTGAGGCTTGGATGGGTGTGGGCGCGCGTGCGCGAACTCGCGCGGAGCTTGCGTGCCGGGGCGGGGTGGGGCGCGGCGTGCTCCAGCTGAGGCCGCTGGCCTCTCGCGCCCACTCCGCGGGACTGCGGAACGCGCTCTCACCGTCACGGCGCCGGTCTTCGAGCGCGTCCCGATTTTCACGGGAGGAGACGGTCTCGATGGTCCAGCAGCATAATGACCACGCCTTCTCCTCGCCCTGCAGACTGCGTGGGGGCGTGGTTTGGGCGGGACTCAGCAGTAACGGACGTCGGGCTCGACCAACGAATGCACAGAGAGGGCGGGTCGTGGTTCTGGGCACGCCCTCTCCCCGGGAGGAAGGGAAACGTGAGTGCAAGTGGTGGAAGGGAAAGCGCTCAACACAGGTCATGGCATTTAATAACTTAAAAATGTCAGCAACTGTAGTCATTGAGGTACTGTAATAGACATCTAATAGTGCAGACCTAGTGTTCAAGATTGAAAATTCACTCACTTATTTAATAAATAATTGCGTAAGTCCCACTCTCAGGCAAATTTGAATAAAATGCAGTCTGCTGTCGAGGAACACACTTTAGTTATTTACACCAGTGCTGCTTCGTCCACGATGAAGGACCCTTTTTTTTTCTTTAATCCATCACTCGCTGATACTTAGCTAAATTAAGATAAGGAATAAATTACCCGTAAACTGAAACGGAAAAAAATTATACAAAATACAATTTCATTTTTTAAATATGAAATTCAACAGACATTTCAGTAAACAGTCAGAACATAGAAAATAATTTAAAAATTGTACACTTTGCTTTGAGAAAATTTGCCAATCAGCATTTATTACAGAGAATGGCTATTACACTAAGTTTTTATTCTATAGTTGTAACTAAAGCAAAGGTATGAGGAAATTTCTATTCTCTTATTAAATGCCTGTAAGCATACTTTGAATGAACCCATTGTGTTTGAATATTTAAATTTTGTTTAACTTTTATTTATTATTTTTTTTAATTTTTAAATGTTCTTATTTATTTCTGAGAGAGAGAGAGACAGCATGAGCAGGGGAGGGTCAGAGAGAGGGAGATACAGAATCCAAAACACACTCCAGGCGCTGAACTAGCTGTGAGCACATAGCCTGATGCGGGGCTCGAACCCACGAACCATGAGATCATGACCTGAGCCAAAGTCGGATGCTTTACCGACTGAGCCACCCAGGCACCCCAGTGTTTTAATATTTAAAGCTTTCCCTGTGACATATATTGTTTCTTGTGTGGTCATTTATCTAAAGTATGTTGGATTGATAAAAGCAGAAGAAATTTTATATCTAAACTATTTCTAATTTCTCATGGCAGGAAAACTATCTCATGGAGTTACATTAATGGGAATGAAAGAACTGATTTTAAAGCAACTTCAGCAAATTTGTGGTTCATTCTTACCCTTTATCTAAAATTAACCGATGATGTTTTTTCATAATTCATATTCAATCCTCTTAAGTGTTTAGGTCCAACAGTTTATCCCATACCGTAATTACAGTTTTAAATATCCTTCCGTAAAAGCTGCATAGGAAAATCATGGGATTCCAGATCCATGATTTTCCTATGCAGCAATCTTATTTTGAGGGAAAGTACAATTCAAACTGTTCTATCATATTTGTAAAATATTTAATTATCATTAGGTGTGCAATGTCAATTTCATTGTTTCTTTTATTGATAATGTTTTTAAAATACAAAAATAACAGTATGTTAAACCTCTGTTCCCTCAACTTTCTAACTTAAATTTTTGTTTTTCCAATTTAACTGCCATATGTTGCAGTCCTTCCTTCCATTAAAATATTAAGATCCAGGGGCCCCTGCGTGACTCAGTCAGTTAAGCATCTGACTTCAGCTCAGGTCATGATCTCACAGCTTGTGAGTTTGAGCCCCGCACTGGGCTCTGTGCTAATGGCTCAGAGCCTGGAGACTGCTTCGAATTCTCCCTCTCTCTTTACACCTCACCCACTCACACTCTATCTCTCTCTCAAAAATAAATAAACATTAAAAAATTTAAAAAATAAAATATAAAGATCCAAATATTGTCCACAAAATACTAGCAAGCTAAATTCAGCACACGTTAAAAAATTTATAGATTAAAAAAAAAAACCACCCTGTTCTAATATGATAGTATGTTTCAAATAACAAAAAAGAGTTATCTCATGACCAAGTGAGATTAATTCCCAGAGTGCAGGGATGGTTCTACATACAAAAACCATTTAATGTAATAAGCCACAGAGTGATAGTTTTCTAACATCTTCCGCTCAAAAAACCCTCATTTTGACACCAGCAAATGAGAGTATCCTTTGTGATACTCTGATTTGTGATACTCTGCCTTTATGGAGTGCAGGAGTCCAGTGGAGAAGTTCTAGCATCCTGGGAGAAAGGAAAAACAAAAAACAAAGATTGAATGCATTGAAGAAAGTAAGAGAAATAGTTTTACTTTATCTGTGTCCCCATTCCCCCAGGAGAGCATAGCTCAGTACTAAGAAGAACCCCTTGACCTGTAATTTCTCCCATAGCAGAAAGTGAGATCAATGTGAGTACTCAAGTTCCCCAGTGGACGACACTGCCAAAGATGCCCATCTCTTTCTCACCCCATCTAGAATACTGATGCACAACTGAAGGTGAAGAGAGGCTGGGAGAAGAGCAGGCAGGACTTATAGTACACCACAGAAACATAGAACATACTAACTGCTTTGTGGACTTCTTTACAAGGGCCACCACAAATCACTGGAGAGATCTTGCCTGCAGACTCCCCCAAATGGTCCATGGGCATCCCTAATGCTCTCTACACCTCACCCACATAATTCTCCCCCCTACACCTTGTGGCCAGTTCCCCATGTGTGCCCCTGAGAATGGCAAGTGCACTCATTGGCAGAGAGCTCATGAACACAAACAGAAAACTGGTCCAATTCTGCAAGTATCTGAGAAAGCAAACTTGAACATTCACCACTGCTCTAGGAAAAGTAAAGCTGTAAGCACTATGTCTAGTTTTGAAGAAAGAAGGCATATAATCTTAAGAATGCCACACACACACACACACACACACACACACACACACACAAAGGGGACAAGAAGTGTGGAGCAGGCATACTATAGGAATGGTCTGAAAAAAATCTCAGAATCCCTAGACAGGCTGACAGAAATTATTTCTCTTCCAAAGACAAGCAGTGAAGACTGAAGGAAGTTACTGCTTCAAATGCAACACTTGAAGGAACATGAAAAATCAAGGAAACATAAAACCACAAAAGGGACAAATTGATTTTTTAGTAACCAACCCAAAGGAAATGGAGATCTATGATTTGAATGATAAAGAATTCAAAATAGTTGCTTTAAGGAAGCTTAGTAGCCTACAAAGAAATAAAGAAAAACGATTCAATAAAATTAGAAAAACAACATGTGAACAAAATAACAAGTTTAACAGAGAGATAAAAATCACAAAAAAGAACTAAACAGAAATTCTGGAGCTGAAGACCAACCAAATGAAATGAAAATTGCAGTAGAGAACACCAACAACTGACTTGATAAAGGGAAAGAATCTCAACTCAAAGACAAATCACAAGAAATTATCTATTTAGAGGAGATCACCAACAATAAAAAGAATGAAAAAGACTGAAGAAAGACTATATGGATTATGAAATTGCATCAATTGAAACAATTTCTGCATTTTGGGAGTACCAGAAGAAAAAGAGAGGGAGAAAGGGACAGAAAGCATATTTAAAGAAATAATACCAGAGAGGGGCACCTGGGTGGCTCAGTTGATTAAGTGTCTGACTTCAGCTTAAGTCATGGTCTCAAGGTTCGTGAGTTTAAGCCCCACGTTAGGCTCACTGCTGTCAGTGCAGAGCCTGCTTTGGGTCCTCTGTCCCCTTCTCTCTGCCCCGCCCCCAACTCTTGCATTCTCTCTCTCTCTTTCTCTCTCTCTCTCAGAAATACACATTTAATTTTTTTTTCCTTTAAAAAAGAATGCCTGAGAACTTCCCATATCTCGAAAGTGATACGGGCATCCAAATTCATGAAGTTCATAGGTCCTAAACATATTCAACCCAAAGATATCTTCTACAAATATGTTATAATAATACAGTCTCAAACCAAAGAGGAAATATTAAAAAAAAAAAAAAAACCACCCACTTCACATACAAAGTAAACTCTATAACGCTATCAGTGTCATCCTCAACACAAACACTACAGGCTAGGATAGAGTGGAATGAAAAATCAAAGTGCTGAGAGGAAAAAAAAAAACCTGCCAACCAAGAATACTTTACCGAGCAAAGCTGCTATTCAGAAGTGAAAGAGAGATAAAGATTTTTCCTGACAAATAAAGACTGAGGGAGCTAATCATCACTAGACCTACCATAGCAAATGCTCCTCAATCTGAAAAGATGCTATTAACATGAAAACATATGAAAAAACAAAACATACTGGTAAAGGTAAGAATATAAGTACTCTCACGCTATAATATGGTGCTGTATAAATCATTTAACTCTAATGCAAAGATTAAAGGATAAAGCATTGGGGCGCCTGGGTGGCTTAGTCGGTTAAGCGTCCGACTTTCACTTAGGTCATGATCTCGCGGTTCGTGGGTTCGAGCCCCGCGTCGGGCTCTGTGCTGACTGCCAGCTCAGAGCCTGGAGCCTCTTTCAGTCTGTGACTCCCTCTCTCTCTGACCCTTCCCTGCTCATGCTGTCTCTCTCTCTCTCTCCTAGAATAAATAAAACATTAAAAAAAGAGGATAAAGCATTAAATAACTATTGCTACAATAGTTTGTTGATGGATACACAATAAAAAAGACAAATATTGTGGGACACCTGGGTGACTCAGTATCCCAGGCATCTGATTTTTGATTTTTGGTTCTGGCTCTGGTCATGATCTCACAGTTCATGGGTTCAGGCCCCACATCAAGCTCTACACTTACGGTGCAGAGCCTGGTTGGGATTCAATCTCTCTCTCTCTCTCTCTCTCTCTCTCTCTCTCTCTCTCTCTCTCTGCCTCACCCATGCACTCTCAAAATAAATAAATAAAAAAAAAGACAGACATTGTGACATCAGAGGCAAAATAGGGTAGTTTTTGTATGCAGAGTTAAGTTGTTATCAGCTTAGAATACACTGTAATAGCTATAAGATGCTTTATATTAGCCTCATGTGAATGTTATTCAACCATGAGAAAAAA